AGCCCTGCCAGGGTCCCTCACTCGTCCCCCGCAGCCCCCACCAGCCCAGCCCTGCCCCCAGCCCTGCCAGCGCCCCTCACTCCCAACCTGCAGCCCCTACTTACTGATGTTAAATTGCATTTAATCAACTAATTGACTCGTCAGTGCAATTCCTTCTTATCAGCCAGGACTGGTCACTTACATCCCTCCCCGCGGGCCCAGCCCCAGGCGCCCCCGACCGTGCTGGTGCCCAGAGACAGATTATGGTTTTCTGGGGCCCTGGCGGCCCCCCCCCCCCCGCCCCCTCTGCTGGGTGCAGAGGAGCAAGGCCGGACTGTGATCACTCATTTTTCTAAGGCTCCCAATTGTCTGAGGCCCCTGGGCATGGACCCCGGGGGTCCGGGGGCTAATTGGACACAGCCTGTGCCCCTCAGCGCCAGGCCGCAACCCCCTCCTGCCATGTCAGGAGTCAGGGGGACAGTGACAAGAGCCACCAAGCTTCCCAGCCTCTTGGGTTTGTGCTCTCTTGGCTGGCTGGGAGAGGTCCCCTGCCCCAAACCTCTGCCACCCCGGGGTCACCTTCCTGAATCCCCTCCCCCGCCCTGCAGGGTCACCTGACCCTGGAATCCAGGGCTCCAGCAGGACACAACCTGAGCAAATATTGAATGAAGGGCAGAGGTTAGTTTACAGGAGCTCATTATGAAAATCCCTAATTGCCCTCAGCAGGGCTCCTCTGGGCGGGGATCCCTGGCAGGGCCCCCGGCCTCTGACAGGCTCTCCCCTTTGGCACACAGACAGAAATTACCCCCTCCCCTCCCCTCCCAGAGCTGGGGAGAGAACCCAGGTGGCCTGCCCCTGCTCTGACCACTAGGCCCTGCTCCCCTTCCAGAGCTGGGGAGAGAACCCAGGTGGCCTGCCCCTGCTCTGACCACTAGGGCCCGCTCCCCTCCCAGAGCGGGGGAGAGAACCCAGGCGGCCTGCCCCTGCTCTGACCACTAGGGCCCGCTTCCCTCCCAGAGCTGGGAAGAGAATCCAGGCAGCCTGCCCCTGCTCTGACCACTAGGCCCCGCTCCCCTCCCAGAGCTGGGGAGAGAACCCAGGCGGCCTGCCCCTGCTCTGACCACTAGGCCCCGCTCCCCTCCCAGAGCTGGGGAGAGAACCCAGGCGGCCTGCCCCTGCTCTGACCACTAGGCCCCGCTCCCCTCCCAGAGCTGGGGAGAGAACCCATGCCGCCTGC